CGGGTAAAAAAAGTTTCTTCTGTGAAGTATAATTACATGACATTTTGCCCCCTACAATGGGCCGCGCCGTAGATATACTGGACCAACACCAGTGCCGGTTGAAGATGCGGCGGGCGTTGGTTGCAATGGGCACATCTAGGCGCAAACTCACGCTGCACCAGCCACCCACCACCGATTCCGCCTGCGGTCTTCTTGACCCTGTCATGCCAGCAGGTTCAGGTGGATGAGGAAATAAACAGTGCCGTAGATGCAGCGCAAGTCGCGGTTGCCGCGGCCAATCCGCGGTCGAACTGTCGTATATGCAGTTCGCCTTATCATTCGCTCAGCCGTTAAGTACGGCTTTGGTCGGCCTATGTCCATTATGCAAAATTAATCGTACGTCGATTTCAGCTGACCACAGCAGGAGGAGGACAGAATTGTCTGCTACTTTTTTCTCTAACTTTGCGGACAATGCTCCTCGCCACAAAAGTAATCAGTGCCAATTAGCCTAGTAAAAAGGCCGATGACTTTTATTGTGCCAGAAGCCGTAAACCTACGGTAGGTGTGTTTGCAAGCGGTTATACTCTGAACCAAACCGATGAGAAATTTCTAACTTACCTTTCTATCGTCAAGTTTATTTAGAAAAAATATAAACTATGTTCTGCTAACTTATTAAAAGCGTAAATTTCCAAATAGCGATTGGGGACTCATTGACTGATTTTGCTACTTCATCCAAGCATTCGGACTAGTGTAAAAGATAGCAGACAGTCGCATAAGATGGGTATTCGTGAGGTATGGTTGCATGTCGACTGGACGTCCGATTATGGCTAGACAGACCTGACACGTAGTAACTTCCCTCTGTTTGCTGATCGTTTGCCCTCCGCCCGATGACCGTGACACAACAGTGTACAGTAGTAACACCGGATAAGCCTCAGAAAAATATTTGGTCGGCGGTGGACCGATAAAAGCAGTCCGCCAATCTCGCGATTACTGTCCATCCTCTTATGGATTTCATCTGCTTGTCAATATCCCCCTCCTCCTTTTCCCATCTTTTTAGTCCGACTGCTGAATCATTTTAAATTTATAGCAGTTATATGAGTGTTAATTCATATTTTTACGTTTTTTGAGCAACAGTAATTTAAGCAGTGCACCTCATCTACCACTAGTTCCAGCTTTTGTCCCACAGAAACAGTAGTTATAGGCGTTTTATGGGTGGGAAATTAGGATGGGCAGTGAAATATACTTTCATAACTGCTAGAAGCATTTTATTTTATCATATTTAGAAACGTTTTTTATTTATATCTGCCGATTTTCCTAATCTGTATTATCGGTAGAGGTATTCTAGAAAAACCCGATTAGCAAGATGTAGGTTTCTTGAAATTCCTGCAAAAATTGAAATTGCTGTTAGGAGATTGTCTACTTCAACGTACCTGAGGTCCAACTTACCGTTCTGTGGTTAGATTAGTATAGTAGTTTGCACACCTTCAATTTACATGCGGAAGCACTTACTCCCAGCGGCCGCCGGAAGAAACTTCGACCCCATTTTTCCACTTTCCACTTACTTCTACAAATTTCCTTTACTGCCTATCCTAATTCTCAACCCCCAAAATCCCTATAAGCACTGTTTCCGTAGGACAAAGTGCTGGGACTAGGGGTATATCAGGTGCACTAACTAAACTACTTTTGCCGTTTTTTGAGTAAGACCATGATGAAGCTTTTTTTATTTAGCGAAGCTGTCTGGGATGATGGCTATGGTAAACTGAAGAAAAAGCTCTCTAAACTCTGTTTGCCCTAGCTATGTTAACGCGTGCCACTGAGACACATATAACCAGTGTACATTTCAGCAAACAGGGCGTCCTTCCTTCGCGCCAGCATACCAAATGTGGCGAGACTCCTTCTCTGAAACTTTCTGACAAAAAAGGCAGACAGTGACGTTCCAATGGAAGTTTCAAACTACCACATCTGTTATTCACCCAACATTGCTTGTATCCCCTACGGAAAAGGACCTATTGTGATCCATCCTGCAGATCACACCAAAGGCGTGGGCTTGTGCTTCAAAAAGTTCGCTTCTCCAACTTGAATGTGTGAATCTATTGAAGAAGGATCTTCGAACGCCGGAACGAGTTGTTTGCTATTCTGAGCTTTCGGACTCCTACAGGAGTCCATCGTCAGAGATGGGAAGCAACAACAAAAGAGTGGCTGGTTATAGCTTGTGAACAAAACAGGTAAAATTTGAACGTGTAAAAGTCGATACCCGTCTGGTGTGGGCGCCGAATGACCACGTCAGCAACTAAAATGAAGCGATTAAGGAGGATGTGGGCCCAATTAATTATGACGGGTGTCTGGCTGTGATCGTATGTAAGAGCGCAAAGCTCTGTACGCCGACGCCAATTCTACACATCTGTTGACAGAATTCCCGTCCGTGGACCAGGCTTCGCTAAATTCTCTGCTCGTCTTGTTTCCCGCGCGGGCGATTGCCTTGACGGCAGCGAAGTTGAACTCATGGCCTGTTTCGTAGGTGTGAGCTGCAACTTGTGATAATTCGTCGCCTCGTCGCACGGCCAACTTATGTGAATGTAGGCGGCCACTCTCCACAACAGTACTCTGTTTTTTTTTCGACTCCAGTATCACACAGTTTGAGGGCAGTACATTTAATACTAGTTATCAGTCAAATTTACCGTCACTTACCTTTTGATTTTAGGTATTACCAACCAGAATACAACTGCTGCCGCTGGAACCAGCTCTTCAGCCTCCACCGCCAATTGTTCTCCTGGCGCTGCAGACTCCAGCCCCATGGGATTCTTTAAGCCGTCAGAACCAGAACCGCCCAGCCAGAAGGCATCGGTTGATCCGGCCGCGAAATTCCTCGGCGAGCATGCCAATCTGATCAATCTGGACAACCTCATCACGCCAAAACGTAATTTCCTGCCATTAGTGGCTCTCCATTTATCGTTTCTAGAACTCGTGCCTTCACACATAACGGAACTTCTGACTGTTTAAAAGAAGAAATGTATGCATACAGTTGATGCCCTATCTCATGATAAGTCAACCGACATTTGAAATATGTTTGTGATTCGAACCTATTAATTAATCAGGGTTGCAATACTGATCATCTTACAGACTAATCTCGAGACATTTCAGTCACGCAAAAGCATTCGCTGTAAAATGACTATTTAAGTAGACGGCATTGTTCTCAATGACTTTTACTGCACTTATACATTCAAATATAATTTATAGAAAGCATAAACCAAGATATTATTACTTAAACTCGTGTATTAGAAGACTAAGGTTTCTTAAAATTCCAAACTTAAAGAGAGAGCATAATTCGGTTTAATTTTTTTTAAATTGCCGAGTAATTTTGAACCCTACCAGCAGTCAAACTGGAATTCTAGGTTTCCAGACGACATGCTTTATGTATTCTATCAAGAGAAAAGTGTATATTTCCCTACAGCACGAGGAATAAATCAAACAATCTTGTTATGGACACGGATTAGTTCATATATATTATGGACAACATTAATAAATTAACAGATACTATGGATTACGAAAGGACCTTTAACAGTCGTAAAAAATCTCATTATTACAAAGATTTTTAAAATTGAAAGATACCCTTTCTTCAAATATAAAATTTGAGAAATGCGTACATTTCTACCAAGCGAGCACAAGAAATAATATTTTTTTTATGTGTTGTCTATTTAAATATAGTGGAATTTATAAGTGCAGTGAAAATCAATGAGAAAAATGTAAAGTGCTTAAGTAGCCATTTTTTACAGAGGAAACTTTTTGCGGGCGGTCAAACAGAAGCTCGTTCAAAAGTCGGCATCCTGGCGTGAGCGAAATATGTTGAGATGATACTCCATAGTGGTAAATTTTACAAACCTACTTAAGTCATTGATTCGAGTCGAAAACACATTTGAGATGCAAAAATCTGCTGCATTTGTTATCTCCCAAGCGCAGTTAGGAGAAAGAGGAGGCGAGGCGATTGATATGATCACCCGGAACAGCCAACGCACCATTCTGATGATGCCATTTAGGAGGTTTTCGAAACGTCAGTCCATCCTCTACGCTGGGGAGATAATGCAAGTGATAAGATATCGAGAACCCGAATCCTCAAGCATTATCGATATATAATGTCACGCTAATCGATATAGTCTGTCCATTTTAATTTTTCCTCTATTCATTGCGTCTGACTATGTATTGGTGTCAATATTTTGAAAATTTCCGAGTACAGCTCGATTTTTCCGACAGGCTGTTTCTTTCATTATACCATCTCCGAATTCACACTTCACTATCGACAAAGACAAAGGAAGCTGAAATGGTTATTTCTAGCTTCTTAGCAATCATCAATGAGCCATACCCAACCCTAGGGGTAGCAAACTCCGCGACGCAGACCCGCAACGTTGTTAGCTAGAAGTTCAACGCTCTAACTACTGCACATTGAGCTCATTGCCGCGCCAGTCTCGGTCGGGAATATAAATGATCATCTGTAGGCGCCCACCGATTAAGTACAAGTATCACTCATCCCGTCGTGCCTTGTAGCTCATTCACGCACGTATGTACGCATGCATAACTGTAACTGCGAGCTCGAGAGCTCAATGGTTAAGGCGCTTGCCTCTGACCGGAGAGACGCGAATTCGAAACCCGAGTGTGGCAGCAACTTCAGCAGCAACACCGGAGTTGGTTATCACTACCTGATGAGGACAAATAAGCCAGAAATGGCCATTGTAGTGTCCCATGTCTTTGTCGGTAATCTCCTTTTGCCTATAAATTTAACTGCATATTTCTGTATATTTTGCTGTAAGCTCCGCAACTATAAATGTGGGATCTTAAGTTGACAAGGAAATCACCGCAATATACGAAATGAACGTAGATTAGGTTTTATGCACTTCCGTATTGGAAGGCAACTCTTATAATCCTAGCAATGGGTTAGTCAGTCGTTCACCGACTATAAATCTCTTTGATGCGTTTGATTTCGTCTACTGGACAATTATGGTGCCGGGCGTCGAGTCTCTGGTCATTTGAGGAACGTGATTTTGCAAGTACAAGATGAGTATCACTCACGTAGATAGCTATTTATTATTATTATTAAAAATAGCCTCGATAACACCTTAACATAGTCCTTGAGTGGCAGCATCTGAAATAACGGAAGGCTTAAAATAGAAACCCGTTTATGACAAATTGCATCCCCCTTAAATGTACTTTGTCCCTGGATATATGTCCGCTGTCTCTGGATACATGTCCGATTCCCCAAGACTCTGGAAACCGAACATTCTGCAGCCAAAATTAAATTGTGTTGCGCACTTCAAAATAGCTATGCGAAAAGCGCAAGTAAGCAGTCTGACAGCCGAAAGCACCTTTGTCTGATTGCAGGAAGCCGGCTGGCAAGCAAAGTTGAAAACTTCGGCGGGCTCACCGTATTCTGTTTGGAGTGTGCAGTTTGTTAGTGTTTCATCTTGTCCGATTGGTTAACGGGGAGGTGAGATACTATCCGTCCCTTTCTTTTCATGAAAGTGGGTACTTTTTATGCGGGGATCAGGCCGTGTGCGGAACGTGCAGACAGGCCGTTTGGTGCTTACAGCAACTGCATCTGATCCTGCCTAGTCAGTTCGACCACCATCACAATATTGAGCCCAGGGGGTGAGGAATATACAGTGGATATAGTCGTTCTCGAAACTAGAGCTTACTCATGTAGTTTTGACATAGATGTAATAAGAAAGGATACGATGCATGCAGCCCAAGACCACTTCGGTTTAAACAATGTCCTGTGCGAGCCCCTCCTGTACTGTCCAATTTGTGATGCAGTAGCGGAACATTTCTTCCATGG